GTTGACTTGGATTATGATTTCTTTAATTGCATGCACTCGCTAAGCCTGTTTTCTTCCCTAGTCTGTGTAAGACATTGGAAACAACTCGCCACTGGTTATTTGTTTGTCAAGTATTAAACGACATACTCATTGCGACTATAAGGGACAAGAAGAGGAGCAATTTGAAGTGAAGTAACGTAAGTAAAGAAATAGCAATGGAATAACGTTCATGATCAAAAGCAAATTCCTAAAAAACTTATGTTTATTGTTATTTTTACAGAAATAATGATATTATCCTTGTGATATTCACCTGACAGTGTCGCAATATATATACGAAGGAAATGCATGTAACCATGGGCTCGGTGAAAAACATCAATCTAGATTTTTATTTTTACTTTCTTTAGGAAATATAAGCTATGAAAATAAACCAAAATGGAATTCTGTCGTCCTGTGATAAACTATTTTATCATTGCAATATGCTGGATAAGTCTTCATTAACTATAATGCTTGCAAACTATGTCGAAAGTTCTTTTGATCACGCTGCTCTATTCAAAAGAGATACTTTTCTGTGTAGCTTCAAAATAGAGAATCACAAAATAGTTTCAGCTTGAATTTTAGCCGACACGACCTATGATGTGCCTTTAAATAGTGTTTTTATTTATTTGTTTTGTTTTTGCAAATTGTCAAATCGATATTTGCAATGTTGGTATCATGTCTTTTCAGTAACCGTTCTATTTGTGTTGTTATAAGTATGTTGCTAGTAAAAGTTTTATGATGTCCCTTTCATATAAAGTAGGTTATACACGGCGTCGCTATCCTTACCCCGTCTTCATATAACTTCACGTTTAATTTACAACTTTATGACACACACAATAAAACAATTGATTTGGTTTAAAACTTTCGAGTGACACATTCTTTTCACAGTATAAAGTCCTTTTGTACATTGTAGCGAAATGGAAAAAATGCCTCCAATTATAAGATAACAGAATGTGTCTTTACCTGCGTTTTTTTGATTAACTCCATCTAATCCAATTACATAATTCAATTCAGTTTTTGTATTGTTCTTTCATTCTTTCATTTGTAATCTCTTAAAAATATGTACAAATAACGAATGGAAAGATATTTTGTACACATAAAGGTTATCTAGGTTTTTTGTTTTCGAAATATAACTCTTAGACAGACACAGATAATAAAAAATATTTTGAAAAATATTTTTCCTACACTACATGTATCAATGGGATGCTTTCTTACGAAATAAGAAAGAAAAAGTTGGTAAAAAAAGGATAACACAAATATAAAAATATCGCTTATGCTGTAATGGGGCAGCAGAATCAATGTCCTCTTACAAAAGAAAAGCCCCGGATTCCGCAGGGGGCCCCACATCGGTCTCCTCTTATGATACACAGACAGTGGGATACGACAGGTCTTTTCTTGGTTTGTCCAGTATCCTTTAAACAAAAGGCACGTGAGAAACCACACCTGTTTCTGCAGGAGGAGTTAGGGAAGGGNGGGGCAAACAATTGCATAGACATTGCTAAATTCGCATAGCTAGATGCACGACAAAAATGTAATACGGCAACACTGACGTTGCTACACAATGTACGTTTATATCATGATATATGTACATGTTCCTTACCTAGATTACCACGTAAATTTACTTACATGTCTACCTTCTTCAGCTTTATAAACTCCGACCTTCTTATTCCATGAAAACACATTCAAATATCTTTGACGGTAACGATACAATGGCGGCTTCGTTCCGAAACATTCGACCGCGTCACTTCTTGAACAGTGTGTTAAAGAGCGTATGTTTGAAAGGCTTCTCACATTGCTTAAGTTAGAATTTAAAAGCTATGAAAGGAAGACAAATAGTGTCAGTCACTGTGGATTTTCTTAATTAACTCATATGCCGGTGTAGATTCACTGGAAACATTTTATCATAGCAATCCGGCTACCGTAGTTACAATCGTAGCAACCCGCTTAGACTGTTGTTTTTGCTTATTGTAGCATTTAAACATTTTTTGGATGTAAATATAATGATTGACCTTCATTTTGACGGCGCGTATACTGTTATATGAACCCAGTTTGCACCGAACGCATTATCTATGGAGCACTAACGCGAACCATATAATATGTTCGTTACCATCTGCGTTAATACTACCGTATTCGCCGTCAAAATGAAGGTAAATCCTTAAGTTTTCATAAACATTAATACATTCTATTTATGTTGTATGCAGACTAACTATAACTTTAAGGTATCCTGGATAGGTGGATTAAGGGGAGGGTGTTAATGGTGGCTAGAGCATCCATCTCCACTTTGACATTCACCAACATTGTTTGTTTCAACACAACAGATACCTGCGTACCTATATAAAACATGTGTATGGAACTGTATTTTGAATTGACATGAATGATAAATATACCGGGATCCACATTATAAAGTGGTTTTTTTTATATTTCTGCGCCTGCCAAGTAACAAAAAAAAAAAAGATTAAAATAAACTGCCAAATATTTATTCAAAATGTATATTTTATTCATTCTTTTTTATTGTGACATGAGTTCATTCATTAACTATGCAATGTGATAAAACAATTTTAATGAAATAAAGTAATATTAAGTAGGTAAAAATATGATAATTGACAATATCATTATTTTGATATTTTGCAAACCAGAACACTCGTAATAAGTACTTATAACGTTTCTCGAACCTCTGTAGTTATTTTTCAGTCAGAATATATCTAATTGTCTTGATTAAAGAAGTATCGATTGTCAACGGGGACCAGATTTCTAATTCGGTATAAAGAGTCATGCGTAACAGTCTTTTATTTTTCCATGTATACGTTAGCATCAATCGTTTTCAACGTTGATAAGGATGGTCGACGGTCTATCCGTTTTGTAAACTTTACAGCGATATGTGGTTTGAATGGTTGTGATAAAGCAGAAGATGAGGAAAGTAAAACATATTTAATAAATGACGATTTCCTTTTATACAGTTTCTCGAGACAAAAAGAAAGAAGACATCAGTCGGATTTGTTTTCGTTGATCGTCTACTTGGTTTACTTTATCCGCTCCCAAGAGAGTAACATCTTCATAACAGTGCTTGTGATATAAGTATGGGGAATGTCTGTACGGGTGGAGTCGCTCCTCTTTCCAACATTCCGAATCACATGGCGTTCACGAAATCCGAAATTACACCACCAATCGTTGCTGGCTTCGATGTTTTGATGAAAATGTGATAAAGCTCACTGATAAAACTGGCAAGGTGACCAAGATATTCAAAGTTGACCAAGCGATTGACGGATTTACATTGCAAGGCAAGGATATCCTCCTTTGTTTCCTCGATAATACAGTTCGAAAGAAACATATTCCGAGTGGAAAGGAAACTCACCTCTTTGATACAGGACCTCTATGTCCTCTACACATAGCTAACACACCCAACGGTGAGATCCTCTTGACATTGTGTGACAAGGAAACGATGACTGTAGAATCACACAGTCAACGAGTGGTGATACGGTACGATTTGAACGGCAATGAATTAAACAGGGCTCAAATCACGGCCAAGGGGCACACCATCTTCGTCGTACCTCGGCGACTTTGTACGAACAAATCAGGTTCGAAGGTAGCTGTCACCAACAAAACGGCCGACATATCTACACATTTGGTGCTCCTTAATGAACAGTTAGAGCTAACTTTAAGATACACTGGACACGGAAAGGTACTGTACGGTGATGTAGCCTTCAGCAAAGCAGACGAGCAGTTCTGTGTCAATGATGTGAAGTTTACATCCACTGGGGATATACTAATAGCCGAGGAATGGTCCAAAACGGTCCAACTTTTGTCTCCGTTCTGTCTTCCGTTGTGGGTACTTCTCCATGGCAATGTATCCCCTACATCTGTATCCATACAGAACAATGGTCATATATGGGTTGGCAACAACGACGGATATGTGATGGACGTGTATTGACGAAGTCAGATAACTTGGAAATGCAATTCGTATTCTTCAATTTCAAAGTGCTGAGTGTCTTAGAAAGCTGTTCAAACATTATCACTCGAATTTGTTGTTTTAGTTATCTATGATAGAATTAGAGTATTGATGTAAGTTTTCCATATTTCACTTTTATGTAACTCTATTTACTTTTTCTATCTGAAAGTTTATCATTTATCCTCATTTTCCCCGAATTTATTGTTCATTAACTAGGGAGCTTATCTGAGTAAACTATAACAATTTTGGCACGTTCAACTTGTTAACAATATATCAGTTTAAACTACCAGCCCTGGTTCTTACCCTCCAGAACAGCTGGCCTTAGTTTTCCTGTATGTATATATAGTAGTAGCACGCCGTTCGACTACTGCTGTCACCACTTGCGTGTGAATAGCAGTTACTCTTTTCATATATTTGTTATTATATATATTCTATACATTCTGGGAAATGGTAAGTGACCATGAATACCACAAGGTTTGGACGGTGACTATTATAAGATCTGTAGAAGGTACACAGGTCTCAAATACATGTTGCAGCTCTATCATACGTTCACAGCTATGTATAATCAGTTATCAATTAAGTTTTAACGAAGTATGTAATGGTCATCGACCTCTGTGGTATCAGTATGCATAGTTATCCAGTTATAACAAGAGTGAAAACATGCATGGCCAGATCGGGATTCGCATTAAGGGGCCCCCGAGCTCTAGGCAGACGTTCCTACATATTGAACAACCTGGTCGTCGGCTATCGACCAAGCCCATTTGCGCTACACTACCTTTGCCCGTACAACGCCCATGATCTACAGTAGAAAATTAGCTGATATCAATCAATCACAAACTATAAAAATTAGATAAAAAATGTTGATGTCTCTTTAGTTCTTGTTGTTGGTGATTTGTCCTTAGTAACTTTTATTAGCCTGGTCTACGATGTCTTGTTCTCTTTTGTTCCGTAACTCCTCAGTCCTATTGTTAACTATTTTCAACAGTTACAAAAATATCAGCACATTTACCAGAAAGTGACTAAATCTTCAACAAAAATATAGCCACAATTTCAATTTTTAATTCATAAGGTATCATAAAAACAAACAAGCTAATAAATTGCACAATTGTCATACAATTCGATTTTTTTTAGGTCATGGTGTGTTTCGTTGTTTCAGATACTTAGTCCCGTTTTGTCACGGTGTATGTCTGTTGAAAGATGCCTAACAATGTTTTGCCACGGTGTATGCCAATGCTTGCGGTGATGGAACATGTTTTGTCAATTTAGTCTGTCCCAACTGCTGGAAGTTGGCTTATGTTCAGGTATAAGATTTGTTTTTTTATTTAGATATTGACATTTACATATGCTTTATAATCAGATGTGTACAATAACAGTCTCAGATATATCATGCCCAAGTAACATGTTTATTCATCAGCACCAGCCAGGGGACCAATATCCATCGAAATTTTGAGGGTTGGAAGCTGCAGAGCCTTTTGGGGAATTAGCGGGAATCATCTGTTTGTGATATTCAGCCATTTTCTTGCTCAGCTCCTCCGCAATATCCCAGTGTGACAGGGACAAGTCGTGATGTTCATACGGGTCATCTAAACACGGAACAAGAATATTTTCATTTTAGAAGATATCACATCTTATAGATATGCGATGAACAAGTATATTTCACAATACGATTTGACATAAAATGTCTTAAAGCGGGAATTGTCAATCAAGCAATCTTAAGGATAAGATATGGTGTTCCGAAAATGTAGGGATACGACCAGGTGGCCTGTAAGGGTAAGCGTCTTCTGCTTCATCGACGAAATCCACCTGGTAAATATAGTTTTAATCCAAGTAATGCCACGTCCTAATAGCGAGAACATTAATCCAACAAAACGAAGTCTACATACCCTTTAAATTGTAAAGCTCCCTTCCAAGCCATTGAACGTTTCCTTGTTTGGCATATCGCTCGTCGTTGGTGGTATTTATGTCATTCTTCTTCGTTTGGAGGTTTATTGTTTCCGTTTCCGGTTTGTACCATCCAGGATACAGTCCGGGGTATCCTTCTATCAGTTTGTAATCTCCCACTCTGTTCAAATAAATATTTAGCTAATATTAAGATATATTGGAAAACATGTACATGTATAAACAGATATTTTTTTGGCAGAATAAATAAATATCATGATCGTATGACTTTTTTATTTCATATTAACTAGTGAATTAACATAAATTAGTTTTGTAAATTTTTACTTAACCGCCGGAAGATAAACAAAAAGCAATATTAACCAATAAGAACGGTACGTTCTATTCACTGCAGGTAAAACTGCAGCTTTTCTGTTCGATGCAGATTAAGCGACAGTAAAATTAGCTTTTGTTTAGGTACCTCTTTGCTAAGAACACTTTATTGTTTATCTGACTTTTTAACATTTTCCTGCAGAAACGACAGAATTGAGTTGATTGGCACATTGAAACTAGTGTGCAGTGTTGTTGTCATATAAGATGATGTCGAAGATAACGCACAATTTGAGAAACTTAGTGATGCTTATTTTGAAACTTTTTACATGTACCTGATAGCCGCATGTCCTTGTAAAGGGGGATTCATATCGTCCAAGTTGTATATGAACTCAGTTCGTTTGGACGGGGCACCGGTCCTCAGACTTTCCCATTGGTCAAGTCCATCAATGTCCTTTTCTTTGGGAACATAAATAAGACAACGTTACTCTCAATACACCTGAACTGCTAATTTTACAGTTAATATGGCAAACGTCTACGCGTTACAAAATGTTCATTTTATATTGTGACGACAATCTGTTGATATGTTCAAGTTAGGATTTGCCAACTTATGCTTAAGGTAATAGGATTGTGTCGCCATTTCTCAGTAGAATTTATTCAAAATTTGTAGATTTATTGCTTTGAAGTAAAGAAAATTTTCTGCCACAAAAAAGGTGTAGGTTGTCAGAATTTTAAGGATTTTAAAACGAAATTTATGTAAAAAGGAGTGAATTTTGAAAAAAAAATGAAACACACAATTTTTTGCAAAATATTGTCAATAAAAATGATACTAACATAGATTAGTATTGCATTAATGTATATCAATTTCATAAATGCTGAAATTGTGTACAATTAATTATCTATAAACGATTAAAAATTGACATTTTATAATAAAAGCATGTACACATAGTAACTGCATGCAAGAGTTATCGTTCTTGAAAAACTTCACAGTAGTGAAATAGGTAGCCGGTTTCTGAAGAACAGAAAAATGGACACATGTGACTCATTGATTAAAAAACCCTGAATTAATGCCTGGATTGCTTTGCAATAATTTAATATTGAAAGAACACACTGTTCTGTCAATAAAAAGCATACAATATTCATCACTTTAATATTAAACATTAGATTATGCGGAAATTGTGATACTTTCTCCCTACATTGGATTTGGACTAGGGATGTACTTCCTATTTCCGTTTAGCAATACACTCCTATGACCTTAAGTCTGGCGGCTAACGTTTAATGTCCACTGACCACAACATGACCATAGTAGGAAACAAAAGCATGTATAGTTCATCAATACCATTAACAAGACCTTTTTAACATAGGGATATATATAACACCTTGCATCCCAGTACACTGAACTCGGAACAGACACAAATAACGCATAGTCACTTATATCAAGCGTATAGACGGTTGATGGAAGTTTTTGTAAAATCAACCTAAACAATAGTCTTTTTCCAGTTTATTTATCTACTACTATAAAGACTGTCCATTAGGGTATATATGTGTAAAATTTCGAGTTGAAACAAACATTGTTGAAGGTATTTGATGCGTTATTTTACTTTGAACACTGTTCACTTTCAGTAAGATTTACCATTGTATTACCTGTAAACAGTTTTATGTACTCTAACGAACTATTTTTTATCAGTCAGCAATGATCGTTGACATTAAGTGAAGACTTGTAAACACCTTAGAGTAACAGGAATTCATACGTACCGCACAAATGCTGCGTTTAAGGATAGGGGTTGTCACTTTTGAGCATAACATCTCCAGAGGCGAACACAAATGATCGCAGAGTCGAACTGTTTCATAGGAACAGTGAATACGAAGTTTCATCTGATACTTTTTGTTAAAGAATGCTAGAAATGCGATGTTCTTGATCCATAAAAATGATCTATTTTTAAACTCTGTCGGACCACTTAATTGTTATCTGTTAACCAATATCATCATCAGAAATCTAAATAATAGTCATACAAAGATATGGAAACATCGCTACAAGAAATTTCAATAGTTTTACAATATTTCAAATGTAAGTTTGTATAAAATAGCCAGGTTGTGCAGATACGTCCATTTCGTTTGAGGCATAGAATCCACTCCAAAAATACAGTCTTTAAATTGGTATTACTCACCAATAATTATTAATTATTTAAAATTCATGAGAAGGCATAAAACAGCTTATTTCTTCATCTAAATGTAAATGTCACCGAAAATAAACATTTAAAAAAATTGAAAGACGCATCAAATACCTTTAAGGACTCCAACCTTTACTGATATCAACACTTATGCGCAGTCTTAAAAATAATAGTTTATTAAACTGAATTATCATATAATTAAAAATTTCCCGCAATCCATTGGCCGGATCCTATACACGTGACCATTCCTAAAAAAGACATGTAGACTGGTTATCCGATGAGTATCGAATTCTAAATAAAGCCTATATGGAAATTCCCTGCAACCTGTCGTAGCGCATGCGCAGTTAGACCGAAACGCGATCTGTCAGACTACAACAGAAGATGGCTCCTGGCGAACGCTTCGCCACCGTTATATCTCAAAGTTTTCAGAAACTGCTGGAAGATAAAACTCCTGTAAATTGAAAAGGGCCATTGAACACGTAGTGCGTGTCTGTCATGCTTTTCATTAAAAGAAAAGAACATTGACGATGTCTTCAAAAGCAAGCTATGACGGTGAATTGTTGGATTCAACCCTGGCTTGATTTTACACGGATGCTCGTTCCAGTAAAGGTGAACTATACAAGAGGTCAACTCTCAAGTCTATAAGGCATGGATTGAATATATATTTGCAGGAATTTGGACATCATCAACGGTACAGAAAGTCCCAAGTCAAAACGAACGTTCCAAGCCATGTCCATTGAACTCAAAAGGCAGGGCCTAGGAGGAATTGAGCATCAGCCACATATCGAAATTTAATTGTTGAAGCATTTTTGAAGAATATAATAAAACAGTTATGGGCTTTTCTGCAGGTAAGTGTGATGTGATATTAACCTCAGACCATTGCCTAAGCTAATTTAAAAAGAAAGAAAAAAAAAGAAAAAAAATCCACTCAGCGTTCCCGGGCTTGATATATTTGACTCAGCGTTATTGGTGCATGTCCACAATTAAGTGTATCGGGATACCCAGTGTGATGTACAGGGGGACCAATTATAATTCTTCGATACATATATTTTTCTTTATTGTTCTTAAAAAAAAGCAAACTTATTACCATACCTGGTGTACCACCGGCGGCAGACAATATGGTTGGCATCCAGTCAACAGCGTGCATCATACTGGAGGACGTATAAACGAGCACAGTTATATCAGTTAACTAATGTGACATACATATATATAAGAATTAACAATAACCCGATCGTCATCAATGCATGTATTCCTATACTCCTTCTACTTGTGTTGTCAACCATTTAGCCTAAAGTTCGATTCATAACATAAACTATTAACATATCATTACACGTTATCCCCACAACAGCGCATTGGATTGTAGTGAGTTGATCGCATGACTTTACAATCACTGTGTGATAACGACACCGGATATTGCTACCAGGCAGGCGGATATCACACGAGTTGGACTGCAGTTGAAGGTGAGATTTTTTCTATATTTTCCTTACTTTAGAGGCTGTAATGTGCTTGAGGCTTTTTTTATCAATAGCTCACATTTCACCGTTTACTTAAACCATAGAAAACATTCATATATGAGTCAACTAAATAAAGATGTATCTACATTACACACATTCATTGTGTCAGTGAAAGCATGGTATTAAATGAAATTTCGTCGAACTTTACGGCAACTTGAATGTTTGATTTTAGATTACTGTACGACATCATGGAAATTGCAAGTCGCCGTACAATAGTTTAATAGTATGTCAGCATATTTCTCATAATTTACAACGAGTTCGAAAATACGATAAATGTATGTAATGCATATACATATCAATTAGTTATAAGTATTGCAACTTGTTCCAAAAAAACCCACTGCAAATATCAATTCAGACACGTGATAAGTACCACTCGTGAGTTTTCGCCAGGCGGCGTGTTTGCAAGAATAAATATTGATACAAGATGCTCTTTCTAACGGGAAGTGTCGACGGTTCCCGATTGAGACTGATATTTCTTGTATCGCAATGGTTGTATGTGTTAAAACTTAATATTTTTCTTGTAGTTATGAATTGAATTGTAAAAAATCTTTACTATTATAACTCTGTTCTAATTTTTAATGAATGGATTATACTTGTATAGCCAAATAACGAATTCTAATGTCAAAACGCTGTTTTTATAGCTTGAATAATAATATAGAGAAAGACGATTCCCGTTGTGTTGACAAGATTGATCATGTTTAGACCAAGGGTAATGGATTATAAGTTTACCGAACAATATTAACTGTAGCGATGATTAGGCTTACTAGCTAGTGTTTTCGTCTCCTTGAGTACCTCGGTGCTCAGATGTAGTTCCCCGGACGCATTTTGCAAGGGAATTATGATTGATGAAATTTGAGTACGAGAGACATTAACGCTATTTTCTTTCTCTGTCATGTGATCAGTTTAAATCCAATCAGATGTTATATAGGTGATGTATAATATCATTTGCATTATTTCCGATTTGACAATGGATTGAATATCAGGATATACCCGATATAACAATAGCATTACATGTATATTTCTTTACAATATCTTCGAACATGTTTGTATACAATATAAATTTGCTCTGACCCGTTATATGTATATCCGGTTTTTTCCAGTCCTTTTCCGCTGATAAAAGCTGTCGCCCGGGTCCCGCCCTCGTATATAGTGATTTTCCCGCCTCGAAGTGGGTAGTTGTTACCGTGGAAGAGTGGCCATCCCCCATTCTATCAACACAAAAGATGAAAAATCAATCGAGGAAGTAACGATGAAATTAGTTTGGATTTTGAGTTTTGGGTTGATCGAACTAGATACTATTGTCGTTACCTTTGCCTAAGTTTGTCTAGTTAGAAATATACAAAATCTTTTAAACATAATTTTACAATTTTTAGCTGAAACAGTCAATTATTTTCTTAAATTGACGTACAATGTATTTGATTTAAACCGTACAATACTGATATCAAGATACAAGGTTATATATAGTCAACTTTGAAGACTGACGGTCCACCAGGAGATATGTAATCATATGTTTTCATTGTGACTAAAAAAAATCATTAGAAATAAAAATTGGTAAGCGCCTATTACATATAATAATGCCATGCAGAAAGCGATCAAAGCATACATTCTTATTACATGTATTGCCAATTCGTCCTCATATAACTCATCATTGGTTCTTAAGGTCATTGGAGTGTATTGATAAACGGAAACAGGAAGTACATCCCTAGTTGAAAATGTAGGGATAAAGTATCACAATTTCCGCAAATTCTAATGTTTAATATTAAATTGATGACTATTGTATGTTTATTATTGACATAGCAGTGTGTTCTCTCAAAATTAAATTATTTCAAAGCAATCCAGGCATTAAATCAGTTTTTTTTTATCAATGAGTCACATGTGTCCATTTTTTTTGTACTTCAGGAAACCGGCTACCTATTTCACTACTGTGATAACTCTTACCTGCAATTACTATGTGTATATGGTTTTATTATAAAAAGTCAATTTTTATATCGTGTATAGAGAATTAATTTTATACACTTTCATCATTTATTAAATTGATATACATTAATGCAATACTAATATGTGTCAGTATCATTTTTATTGACATTATTTTGTAAAAATATTGTGTCTTTCTTTTATTTTTCAAAATTCACTCCTTTTTACATAAATTTCCATTTAAAATCCTTAAAATTCCGACAACCTATATTTTTTTGTGGCAGAAAATTTTCTTTACTTCAAAGCAATATAACTACAACATTTGAAGAAATTCAACTGAGAAATGGTGACACAATGCTATTACCTTAAGGTAAAATTATTGAAAATATATGTCCACAGTAATCCGAAATAAATATCAAATAGAGAAAGGTGGGAGATGCCTGGAAAACCATTAAAAAGTTATAATTTTACAACCCATGTCTTTCTAGCATTTACACCATGACTTACGTCGTCGGTGAAAATTAAACTTGCGTGCTAAATTTAACAACCTGACTTTCGTCGGTTGTGTTCGTAAAACTGGTGTGCTACAGTTAATATCCTGACTTACGTTGACAGTGAAAACAAAAGTGGCGTGCTACAGTTGATATCCTGATTTACGTCGTCAGTGAAAACAAAAGTGGCGTGCTACAACTCACAACCTGACTTACGTTGGCAGTAAAAACAAAGGGGCGAGCAACAATAGACACTCTGACTTACGTCGTCCATGAAAACAAATATAGCGAGCAACATTGAACACCCTGACTTACGTCGTCAGTGAAAACAAAATTGGCGAGCTACAACTCACAACCTGACTTACGTCGTCAGTGAAAACAAAATTGGCGAGCTAAAACTCACAACCTGACGTACGTTGCCAGTGAAAACAAAAATTACAAGCTACAACTCACAACCTGACTTACGTTGGCATTGAAAACAAAAATGACTAACAACAATTTGCAACCTGACTTACGTCGTCAGTGAAAACAAAAATGGCGTGCTACAATTAACACCCCGACATTTGTCGTCGAGAAAAACAAAATCGCATGCTTCAATGAACACCCTGACCTACGTCGGCTGTGAGCACGAAACGTATCTTTTTTACAATTAACATTATTACTTACGTCGGCGGTGAAGACGAAAAGTGTCTCGTCATACATGCCATTTTCCTTCAGAGCGGCAGTCACATTCCCTACCAAGTCGTCCATTGCCGTCACCATACCTTAACATAGTATTTTATACATTCACAGCTAAACCAAAACATTTAAGGACATGCCTTTCCTTACAGTTAATGTAAAGAATGCAGCTGCATTTTTGAGAGAATTGCATTGTATTGGAACTTATGTTTTCAATATTAAATAATCAAATGCATCGATATATTTGAAAATATACATACGAAACTGATATTATTTTATTTGTAAAGTTTACATGAAAGATATTAAATTTTCTAAGTCTAGTCTTAGATATAGCGTTGTTTGACGATATGATAACATTGAATGTTGAGATTAAAAATATGAAATATGTTAAAACTTAGTGAAGAATAAAAGCTGATTACGATCACAGCAACAATGCACATATTTTCTGAGCTGTACAAAGGCATGTATTATCAACCCATCTATTACTCACCGGAGTATTTCCTTCTTCCTTCATTCTTTATGTTGCTGTACATATTCTCATAACTTACGGGAACCTGAAATCAGTATTAATTATTTCTTACCGTCTTTGTCCTATATTTATGTTGGCACATACTGTCAAAAAGTATTAAATAAAAGTATAAAGTTATTAACAGGGACAACGAAATAAATTAATATTAATTAATAAGTTTCTTATTAAAACTATCAATAGTGTATATCTTATGTAAGTTTATGGGATATGGATATTCTACCCCGAGGGTGTAGAATATCCATATCCCACATTCATATACCTTCATCATAATTGAATCCACCTCAACCCGCCCCCCCCCCCACACACACACAAACACACACACACACCCACACACACACAACAATTTTATATAAAGCATTTAGAACTAAAATTTGCAGCTGAAAGGTTTTGGTTTAAACACCTTTACCCATCTTTTGTTGGCATTCAGTGAACAATGACAATACATTTAGTTATTGTGTTAATATAAAGTATGCTACCTCGATCGGCTCATGGACAGACTGGAATGGGAAGTACAGGTAGAATGGCTTGCTCTTGTCGTGTTGGGATATCACCTTCCGTGCACGATCGGCATAGACATACTGAAATTGAATTGCATTTTATTAAAAAACAGTTTTCCTTCAAATGCTTCATTGTCAAGGATATAAGTATATAAGCGGAATGAACGTTATCGTTACTTTAATCTGTGTCTAATAAGATATTATAATTTTTGATGATTCCAATCAGGGATTAAGGTAGAAAGCTCACAAGCTCTGTTTTTTGTCGTGTCACTAAGAAAGAAGTGCTCCAATTTGTTCAGCATTTTTTCTGACTTGGAGTTGCTATACCAAAGCGTTTTATCCGATTGAAATTTATCAATTATCTTTTTCTTTCACTAAAAACATCACTGCTGTGGCGATGGGACTCCCGCGCCTCTTTTTAATAAAGCATTTCCACTGCACTGCTGGTCATAATAGTTGTTTTGCATTTTCCAGTAACATCACCGGGAATATTCTCTTGAAAGGCTATAATTTTATACATAATTTATTGCCAATTTATTTGAACAAGGGATTAGGCATAAGTTATTACAACTTATCACAGCCTTTTCTCGTCATACATTTACAATTACATTATAAAAATGAGAATAGGCATAAACATGAAGTAGAATATCTAATATTCACACAAACACAAATACACAACATAAAAAGACACCGTTGAAATCATATTGCTGAATTTGATAAAATGATGCACATGTCTCAAAACGTAACAGTTAAGGGATACAGAAATATCTCAACCGACAAACAAAAAAGCTCTAAATATGAATACTGGGACATTCAAATGTCAAAACATAATACGCCTGACATTGCCAAAAAGTTGACTCTCAAAGGAAAAGTGAAAGGCATATTCTCACACATCCTCGATATCCAGGGGTAACGCTCACTTTCGTTTTCTACACCCCTGGAATATGTCATGGCAAAATTGAAGGCACGAAGATAGCTGTTTGATTGGTCTCAGGTAAAAAAAAAAACTGACCAATCGCTAGGCTGATACCTGAAGATTACAAAGGAGAAACGCCCGACTTCAAAGTCTGTCAACTTTTACCGTTACGTGACCGCGATATTCTTTTGATGTATATCAAAGGATCGAATTAGTCTCCTTGTCTCATCAACAAGGTGGCGCACACCGAGTCTTCAATTTTGCTATGACATATTCCAGGGGTGTAGAGAGCGAAAGTGAACGTAACCCCTTTGGATATCGAGGATGATTCTCACATGGATGTCCACAGATGCAAATTGGACTTCCGAGAAAATTCACTATAAAGGTCACTAGATAGGAGAGTTGGTTGTACATTTAAGGTAAGAGAGTTTTAAAAAATATATGGAAAACAACGATCGTACTGATAAACCTGGCGAGTTCCAGCTTGTAAGAGTGGAAGGTATAAAGGAGAGATTTGTAAGAGTAGCCCAAGTAGAGGAACTTGAAAGGCAGCAACATATCATGTTCTTTGTATATAAAAATAAAGAAAAAGAAAACAAATAACAGCGAAATAACCCCTTAATGCCTGCGTACAAAACAGAATAGTGGAGCTTTCTACCTAAAATCAACAGTATATTATAGATATTCATATTTAATCATTGTATAGCAAATGATAATTACAAAAAAACATAACACATACACGCATACAATTATTGAGTAACCTGTAAGGCATTGAGCGTCAACAATATACATGGCCTGATTTACAATTTATTGCTGCAATATCAATGTGTTCAGTCTTGAATATTGATTTGCCAGTATTTAAAAGTACAACTAATTATCATATACGGTAGAAGATTTACCTTTGCGTTCCAGTTATCCGTTTTAGTTAGACGTTTTCAAAGTTCACCTTTCACCTTAATAAAGTCGACTGTATTTGGATTTCAATTGATTACTTCAATAGGAACTCGTGGTGTATATAATAGATGGCATTTGAAGTGTTTTAAGGTTGCGTATACACTTACGGTTGAATATTTCGTGGTATCCGGCATAATGGGTTGTTTATCGTCCCTGAAATCCTTTCCACCAGCTGTTTCAAACACACCAATAAGTTTTGCATCGTAATAAAGGATGTATATCTGGAGAAATCAAAACTTTCCTGTATTAAACTTTTTTCTCATATGCATTTTTGGAAAATTGAGTTAATAGCTGTTATGACCATTTGCAGGACACAATCATACAATATCTTCCAAGTGTGTTATCAGATATGCATGAATAAACTCCTTTAACTAAGTCTTTTATCTCAGAAAATCAATTTAAGTTACTCCCACCCCTAATTTGTTAATGACAAAATACTCATTTTTTCACCACTAATTGCAGATTTAACACTTGATATAAAAAGTTCTGCTACATGTATTATACGGTTTTAAATATTTAGCAGATCGAAAGAAAATCGGTTTCTCTTTCAAAAACAGCCATAAAAATGAGGGGGGGGGGGGGGGGGGGGGGGGCGTGTGCTTCTATTTTGGTCCTATTATGATTTGTTTATTTTCACCATTTCGGGGTCAAAAATTAAAAGTACTTCAGTTACACTTAATATGTAAAATAAAATACCAAGAATGTATAGTTTTTTCCATTTTGTTGCATATTATGTTCATTACATTGAACATTATGAAGTTGTACAGCGAAAATGAATTTGCTACAATTAAAAATGGCGACACACTGACGAATTAAAAGATCAATCAAGCTTCAAAACGGTGAAATTTTGGCTGTTCGTGAAGCGCAAAAAATATACCAAAATAAACATTTTCAAAATGGCCGCCTAATTGGTCAACATATATCTAGATATTTGACACATTTTAAGATGCTATTAAAATTAATCATACTTTGTTAAATATTACAAAATACCTTAGGGACTTGAACGTGATTGAAATATCAGAAGAGTACATCCTTAATGCTTGTTTCATTAGTGAATAAATACCATGTTATTTAAGTGTTATATATGTAAAATAGTGATTGACACGAGTTTGAGATTCTATTATCAAATGCGTCCCTCAAATATCAAAAATGTCACATTTTTGGGAAAAGTTTATAGGAAAATATATGGAAAACCAACACAACTTTATTAATATCATATTTCCAGTTCCTGATGTGGTTACATTGTGTGACGTCACAATGTGGTAAGAAAACAATTAACCTGCCACTTACAAAATTAGAGATAATAAAGTCCCACCCGTATGAGTAGAATAGACTTACCCACAGTTCTGTTATAGTATTGCTCCTGGCCCTGATAAAATCCATAGAACGAGTCAAATCCTCGGTACGTTGGGGTACATTCCCACTTACAGAATCCCAGATGCCATCTGGAAATATATAATCATTTTATTTTCACGACATGATACAAACTTATGTCCAGTGAAACAAGTTGAAAAATGATACAATAGCGTCAACAAAATCGCTAAACAACGTTGGTGCGGAAAGCTAGCATGATGTACCATGGAGACTCACAATGACTACGTGAAATATATTGTACTCAAACAAGTAGTGAGTATTGTTCGTACTATAATTATGCATTGGAACTTGTGTACAAACTTTTATTAACACCGATCCCTTATTAAGCTTAATAAACTCTGTCTGCGTATAAATTAGCGTATACGCAATGACAAAAGGCTCGGCGGATTGATACCTATTTCAAATATGGCGCCCTTCTCGTTCAGCGAGATAACTGTTTGATGACAGCCATTGTTTTGTGTACAACAAAGGGATGCTGACCAACTTCTTATTCCTTGGATGCACATTAAAAATTCTTTGGTAAAGTAAAAAATGGCGGCTTCTGATTGCGACGTTCGACCGCGTCACTACCAGACAAGCGTGTCAATGCGTGTACATAACAACCGTTTTAAATTAATAAAAATGTTCGAAATGCTACTTATATTACTCATTTAAAGATTTTAAAGTGATATAGAGAAAATAAATAGTGTTGTTCACCGCGTATTTTATAAATTTATCCATATATCGATGTAGATTCGCTGGAACTACGGCTACCAAAGTTACCATCGTAGCAACCCGCTTCGACTGTTTTCTTCTTTGTATAGCATTTGTTCATTATTTATGATGTAAACATAAGTATTGACCTTCGTTTTGACGGCGTATACATATTTTTTATGGAGCTCTAGCGCGCACCATAGACAATACTCTTTGCCACCTGCGTTTGAAAAATATCACTTTTAAGCAAAATGGCTTATTATTGTAATAACAGCGAGACAATAATGTACAGCTTTATCGTCGTGATAATAATCATCACAATGTGCTTTAGATGTGGACACAGCATTCACGGTCAGATAAGACGGACGTGATAGCGATTTACGTGAGGTATACTTACTTTCCTATGGCGTGCGTTTCATATCCCAGTTTCTTTAGATATTGGGGGAGGAACGGTTTATTGAAGGGTGAACACACTGCTTGCTGAGGTAACAGAGCTCCATGCTAATGTAAAAAGAAAAAATGCAAATTGAAATGAGCTTTTAATTATACTTATGTCATTTCACATATCATAGATATATTTATTTGCATACATTTAACTATATCAGTGTGTGCTGAAAGACACTATGACTTTTGAAAGTGTAAGATATGTATCAATAGAAAGTTTAAAGACATACACTTAAATGCAATGTTTATACGATATTGAAGAATAGTATTACCTGAAGTCCAGCTTTGAAAGGATACACCCCTGTCATGAAAGCATTCCGGGACCTGATATTAGTAAAATATTGTCGTCATTCACGTTGATCATACAAACAATAGTTGTTTATGACTTGTTTCGGTAATATACATAATTAGGTTCTATAATAAATTGATTAAATGATTTATAGGGTCTTAAAGATGTAGTAACCTTATATATATATATATATTGTTATATGACAGTCGTTGAAGAGTAAGTGCCCTTACAAAACCTGTACACGCCAAGATACAGTAAAGTATAATGATAACGGCCTATCAGTACAAAGCCTTGTCATCAGGAAAATCGCGAAGCGCTTGCAAACTATAATTTTGGTAAACTGTTTCTGTATCTCTTAAACGATATGAATTCTTTATAATCAACGTGAAAACAGCTCCCGTTGGAAATAATCCGAGGAAACTATCTATTTGTCATAATAAAGCTATACTCACGGTGTACATACGGGCTGTACGTAGGACTGGTTAAGTATGACTCCCTCGTACGCCAGCTTGTCAATGTTTGGGGTGATCATGTCGGGGTTACGAAACCCTACATCGTTCCAGCCTTTAAACGACGGTTATCATTGATAATAATTATAACATATATATATATATATATAATACTATAAATACAAATACAGAGAGATTCTAAGTACCTCCCAAACGCGTTCACCTCTTTAGAGGTTCATCAAGGGAACTGTTTTATACTATAATTATAATAATGTCCTTTTCGCCATAGAAACACTGACAAATTATCTATTGGATGAAGTATTTTTAATAAAGTGAAATGAAATGTAGACTTTTTGTACGGATGGTCTCCCTTGTGGCAAGTTTTCTAATTCAACACTTTACTTTTGAAATAGCAGAAAGGTTTTATGTCACCGTATGTGGACAAAAGTTTGGATCTGTATATTAAAATATTCATACGATTAGTAGCAACACTGTTTTAGTAAAGTTTAGAGTTTCACTGCCCAGAGCACAGGGACCTGAGAATTTGTCACAGCTATATATTTGGACCTAAAATAAGGTGTTCAGAGTAAGTTTACATGTTTAGGGGTTTAGATCGACTTTCGGTAAAAATGTCACTCATATATATGATCATTCGGGGTGTCATTTTTACCGAAAGTCGAATTAAACCCCTTAAACATGTAAACTTACTCTGAACACCTTAGTTTACATGTAGGTACAAATATAGCTATAACAAATTCTCAGGTCCCTGTCGTCCAGAGTATACCGGGTAGATGTCGTCACTTCTAATCAAACCTGACCTACATTAAAGACAGACATATACTTATATTAAGAAATGACAAGAAATATTAGATGCTTACCGTAATCATCGGCTACCATGAACACAATATTCGGTTGTTTGGCATCCCTGCCACCGATCAGCAGTAACAGCGTCAAAGCACACAGAACAGGTAATGTTAGAAAGATCTCCATTTTACTCCAACACCTGTTCGTTGCTTTTGACTAGCTATACTACGTACCCTCCAAATATGTAACACAACCTTTATCACCGAAAACAATCTCGTCATGTGATCATCGACACGTTCATTGATAAATGCAGACTGTTTTTCATTCGTCGTTACTGATCACCTAGCCGACAACATTAATATTATCCAGTTCCTGACCTCGGGTCATAAAATGGGACGTTCTCGATTTAAAAAAAACCACGTGGTTTGTTTACGGAATGGAACCTAACTGTTTACAATCGTCTGTTGGATGTGCTTTTTAAAACCATTTTTGTTAAGTTTAGATTGCTAGGCTTTTGTGAAAGGCTTGCATATAGACTCTATTTCGCAATATTTTGCACTGTGTTTAGGCCTACACTATCAGATGTCAATTATATGACCAAGAACAATTGTTTGGTAAGTTTAGACTGCTAGGCTTCTGTGACAAGCTTGCATATATACATATAGACTCTATTTTTAAATTATGTAAGTTTTTCAATCGTTTAAAATTAACAATGGATGTGGTAATAGCGCAATTAACGTGTAAATTAGTAATTAGTAGTATGAATTAATTTTGGTATGGATGAACAAGTTCTTGTATTTAGAAACAGAAAAATAAATGTTTAATTCATATATTCATAAACTGTGTCATAAATGAATGAAACAGTTTTAATAACATATAAATCACTTACATATCAGAAGTTTGTGTTTTATATATTTCTATGTCGCATACTCAGGGATATCACATTGGGAGTGAACATCCAACAGGATTTATTTTTATGCCACTAAAAAGGACCACATCTAGATTCATTCGAAGATTTGTACTAGAAAATTTATATACAAGAATACATGTGCAGGTTTAATAAATACTCTCTTAAATTTCTCTATCATAGACACAGAATACTACAGCATCACTGTACACATAGGCGAATATTGACATGTGGAATCTTCAAAGGTAACTTTCACGTGGTGAATTAATCACAGGTATTCCAGTGCTTTTCCATGTCAATTCAATTGATTGTATACAGGGTTTTGTGATGAGTATATGAAGGGACTCAATGACACTACGCCTGATTGAACGACAGTAGGTAAAAACGTATCGGTACGTATTAAATGTCGACCCATTTTATGACCCATGGTTAAAAAGTGTGTACAAGCACGTACTTGGATAACAATCTAATTCCGCGGTACAAGGTAGGCGTACCTTCTAGATAAAATGTAGACATTTACTGACAAATAACATTTAATAAGCAAACGGACATGAACGATTTAATATTAGGCCCAGTTTAGTTGGATATCCTAACAGGTTTTGGTCAATACCGGTTTGTGGTATTTTATTTAATTAACATATCTATTTATTCAGTCATTTAAGTTTAGAAATGGACACAAGAGGTGTCCGTGTGTGTTGACGGCGTGGTATATTGTCTGTTTGTGTTGCCGGTGTGGTATATTGACCGTGTGTGTTGACTGTGTGGTGTATGGTCCGTGTGTGTTGACTGTGTGGTGTATGGTCCGTGTGTGTTGACTGTGTGGTGTATGGTCCGTGTGTGTTGCCTGTGTGGTATATTTTCTGTGGGTGTTGACGGTGTTGTATATTGTCCGTGTGTGTTGTCGTTGTGGTATATTGTCTGCGTGTGTTGACGGTGTGGCAAATTGTCTGTGTGTGTAGACGTTGTGGTGTATTGTCCGTGTGTGTTGACGGTGTGGTATATTGTCCGTGTGTGTTGACGGTGTGGCAAATTGTCTGTGTGTGTTGACGTTGTGGTGTATTGTCCGTGTGTGTTGACGTTGTGGTATATTGTCTGTGTGTGTTGACGGTGTGGTTTATTGTCTGTGTGTTCTGTCTTTGTGGTTTATTGTCTGTTTGTGTTGCCGGTGTGGTATATTGTCCGTGTGTGTTGACTGTGTGGTATATTGTCCTTGTGTGTGGAATGTGTGGTATATTGTCTGTGTGTGATGAAGGTGTGGTAAATTGTCTGTGTGTGTTGCCGGTGTGGTGCAAAAGTATATTGTCTGTGTGTGTTGACGGTGTGGTATATTGTCTGTGTGTGTGGAGGTTGTGGTATATTGTCTGTGGGTGTTGAGGGGGTGGAATATTTTCTGTGGGTGTTGACGGTGTGGTATATTGACCGTGTGTGTTGGCGTTGTGGTATATTGTCCGTGTGTGTTGATGGTGTGGTATATTGTCCGTGTGTGTTGACGGTGTGGTATATTGTCTTTGTGTGTGGACTGTGTGGTATATTGTCTGTGTGTGATGACGGGGCGGTATATTGTCTGTGTGTGTTGCCGGTGTGGTACAAAATGTATATTGTCTGTGTGTGTTGATATTGTCTGTGTGTGTTGACGGTGTGGTATATTGTCTGTGGGTGTTGAGGGTGTGGTATATTGTCTGTGGGTGTTGACGGTGTGGTATATTGTCCGTGTGTGTTGACGGTGTGGTATATTGTCTGTGTGTGTTGCCGATGTGGTACAAAATGTATATTGTCTGTGTGTGTTGACGGTGTGGTTTATTGTCTGTGTGTGCTGACTTTGTGGTATATTGTCTGTTTGTGTTGCCGGTGTGGTATATTGTCCCTGTGTGTTGACCCTGTGGTATATTTTCTGTGTGTGCTGACGGTGTGGTCTATTGTCTGTGTGTGTTGACGGTGTGGTATATTGTCTGTTGGTGTTGACGGTGTGGTATATTGTCTGTGGGTGTTGACGGTGTGGTATATTGTCTGTGGGTGTTGACGGTGTGGTATATTGTCTGTTGGTGTTTACGGTGTGGTATATTGTCTGTGGGTGTTGACGGTGTGGTATATTGTCCGTGTGTGTTGACGGTGTGGTATAGTGTCCGTGTGTGTTGACGGTGTGGTATATTGTCCGTTTGTATTGACGGTGTGTTATATTGTCCATGTGTGTTGACGATGTGGTATATTGTCCGTGTGTGTTGATGTTGTGGTATATTGTCAGTGTTTGTTGACGGTGTGGTGTATTGTCCCTTTGTATTGACGGTGTGGTATATTGTCCGTGTGTGGTGACGGTGTAGAATAGTGTCCGAGTGTGTTGACGCTGGTGTATTTTTTGTCCTGGAATACTGGCATTGAAGTCCTTTTAAATTGACGCTTTTGTATATTTNGTAGTGTTGACGGTGTGGTATATTGTCCGTGAGTGTTGACGGCGTGGTATATTGTCCGTGTGTGTTGACGTTGTGGTATCTTGTCCGTGTGTCTTGACGGTGTTGTATACTGTCCGTGTGTGTTGACGTTGTGGTATCTTGTCCGTGTGTGTTGACGTTGTGGTATCTTGTCCGTGTGTGTTGCCGATGTGGTATATTGTATGTGTGTGTTGACGGCGTGGTATATTGTCCCTGTGTGTTGACGGTGTGGTATATTATCTGTGTGTGTTGACGCTGTTGTATTTTTTGTCCTTATGTGTCGATGTTGAAGTATGTATAATTCTTACATGTTGACGCTAAAGTATTTTTTGTCCTTGGGTAATGACGCTATGCTATACTTTGTCCTTGAATACTGGCATTGAAGTCCTTTTAAATTGACGCTATTGTATATTTCGTTAGTGAGCCATAACGCCGTGAAGATAAAAAGTATAAAATATGGCTCGCGTTATTCCAATTCAACATATTTAAAGGAAGAGTACATTTAAAATATGGATTCTCGTTAATTCAGTCATATTTGTTCCCACAAAGCTTAATAGCAGGGACACTTATGAAGAGGTCGGCTTATTTCATGGCCAAAGTTCAAAAACTGTGTACACATTTTTCATGTCTGGTAGATAAACTGCGAACATTTTCAGACGAATTTAAAAAGTATACAAACGTATAGAAGATTAGACTTTAGTTAATTATACAGGTAAATACAAAGGTAAATACACAGGTACATACACAGGTTTATACACAGGTATATAACTAATAAACATGACCCGAACTCATGTTTTTGATAAAGTTTGATAGTTTGAGTAGTTTTAAGTCCGCTTCACTGACTACCGAGTAGTTCGGTTATCCAGCAGTCGAACATTTTATCAAGAGAAATTATCAGCAAAAGTACCGTCTGAATAGTAGGACAACCGCGCGCACATTAGTCGTAAATTGATAGTGTACAACCTGATTAGTGATTTCTGGAAAGTGAACTTCCAGATTAATGTTTGCTTGAATGACTACCGGATTAGTCATGATTTGATATTGTCCTATATGGTTAATGTTTGTCTGATAACGGACTATCAGATTAGTGGTGACTAGATAACCGATGTTTAGCTACAGAAATTTATCTTCATTAATGTTTACATTTATAATATGCTATATTATGCATAATAATGAACACTTTATCAATCAATTACTTCACAATCGAGAAACTTATCAGCAAGTAATTTATTCTAAACGGTTGTTCTTTTCTCAAAATGGATCCTTTTTGTCTGAACAAGCAATGTTTTCACCTTTCAATCGGTCATAATCCATATAGAAGAGAAAGGCTGAACACAGACCAGTTGATAACACATTCGTAACTCTCTTTCCTTTACCTGATTGTTCGGAAACTGTAATGCTTGCTTACGTCTATACCATCACGATACTCCAACCAAAGCTGATAAGAAACACGGGTCATTATATGGACTTAATATATAATGAAAGCCAAAGATGACCATCTAATTACTTAAAATTAAAACACTAAAAATGTAGTTCCTGCTTAACTGTTAAATATATAACACCCCTAATTGCAATGTTCATAGCTATCTTTATTTACATGATAACGTCTAATATCCATGTGTTCCAATGGTTACAAATGTCCTTCCGGTAATGTAAACATATGAGCATTAATTAAATCAAATACACAAATAATGAAATAAACAGAGAACGCCGAAATGACGAACACAAAAAATAAAAAAGGATAAAAATCGTTAAAACTTTTGCAAAAAAAAAGCAGTTAAGAAATACACAAGAAGAATACCAGGCGTTACGGAAATGGAAGCGTCGTCTGCTACATCGGTCACACCCGCGTAGGTAAAATCCAAGTTATGACAAGTTCTCACAGCTAGAACCGGGGAAACTGGGGATCTTGTACATTAACTTCAACCTCGTAAGGTCATGTTATTTGTCACTATGGCAAATGTCACTGTATACTAATTGCTTTACTATATACAAAATGCTACAAATTTGAAATTCGTACGGCATTCGAGGTGTTG